TAACAAGCACGCTCCATTCAGTTATAAACCTCAGCTTCGCAACAAATGTTGTAACTAATATTTTGTTACGTAAAAGCCACTAAGTGTTTGCTTTTCCAAAGTAATTTATTGTGGCGTATTTAGCTTATTTTCTTTAAATCTTTCACTTTGATATTTTTGTTATTGTCTATTTTTGTCAATGGCGTAGATTTGGGTATGGACGATAGGGATTTCCCTACAATGCTGTGGGAGTACAGAGTGTGTAAAACTTGTTACTTTTTAGCTGGTGGGGACATTTTTCAGATACCCACAATATAAACCTCTTTTTTCTTTTTTTTTTTTAAATAAAATTATCTGTGAATGCATGTCTTGTATTTTGTTTGGTTACTCATGCTTAAGATAAGGGTTAAGGTTGTCATAGTTAGGATTAGGGTCATGCCCATAGAAATGAATGGAGAGCACCTACAATGATAGGAATATATGAAATAAGTGTGTGTTTGTGTGTGTGTGAGCGAGAGAGAGAGCGTGTGTGTGTGTGAGCGAAAGAGAGAGCTTGTGTGTGTGTGTGAGCGAAAGAGAGAGCGTGTGTGTGTGTGAGAGAGAGAGAGCGTGTGTGTGTGTGAGAGAGAGCGTGTGTGTGTGTGAGAGAGAGAGAGCGTGTGTGAGAGAGAGCATGTGTGTGTGTGCGTGAAAGAGAGAGCATGTGTGTGTGTGAGCGAAAGAGAGAGTGTGTGCGTGTGAGAGAGAGCATGTGTGTGCGTGTGAGAGAGAGCATGTGCGTGTGAGAGAGAGCGTGTGTGTGTGTGAGAGAGAGAGAGAGCGTGTGTGTGTGCGTGTGAGAGAGAGCATGTGTGTGTGTGTGTGCGTGTGTGTGAGAGAGAGAGAGCGCGTGTGTGTGTGTGCGTGCATATTTAGGGGGCAGAGAGTTGGGGACTGTGTTGGCCCCTACCAATCTATGGCTAAGCTATACCCTGGCCCTTAACCCTGCTCCAGCGACTGGCAGACCCTGCAGTCCCCAGTGTATGTCGCTTTAGATTGTTTGATAAATAAATAAAATGGCACCCAGCAGCCCAGCAACACATGCGAGGTAGAGGCAGGCGGTCTTTGGTCAGGGTGCACATGTGGGGTTAGCCCGGTGGACGTGCCCAGCTCGCCGCTTTCCCCTCTATGGGAGGGGACGCCTCCGTTTGTCCTCTGCTTCTCGGTCAATTTTCCATGCCACGGCTCGGCCAGGCGTGTGGGAAAACGGTCGTTCCGGACACATCTTTCAGATACAAATTACCCGTAATGGAGCCAGCGCCGAGCGCCGAGCGACTCTAATGGGCCACAGCGCGCCCGGTGAATTTAAATAGTGTGAAACACCGTGATGTGTCCCCCGCATATCCCAGCACGGGGGGCGGCTGCGTTGCTGCTTGTTTTAGATCAGCGTTTTAGTGTCCATGTCTTTCTGTCTGTCTGCATTCAGGCAATCAGTCTGACAGGACAGGCGGCCATTTTCTAAAGAAAAGCATCTTACGTTTTTCTATATTTGGAAATTTAAAATTCGAATCATGTGAATGTGCTCAAGAGCGTTACTCTCCCAGGATGGGTGACCCGAAATGAATCAGAGTTTAATATCAGATTTATTTTGTGTGACATCCAGTCTGGTGCCTGCCACAGACACCCACACTTCCAGTCATCTGTCAACCTCTTTGACCTCCCTCATTAACACTTTTTGCTCATTCTTGCAGGATGATCTTGCCTGTTTAATCTTCCCATTATCTGCTTTTGAATCTTGGTTCATGGGTCCAGTTTTGGGTGTCTGATTCCGCTTATTGTCGTGATCCCTGCCTGATGATCGTTTCATCTAATTTACTTCTACAGCCTCGTTTTTGGCTTTTCCAGTTTCAAAGAGGGTCTCGAGTCCTGCTCAGCCACTCTCTCCCGCATGTCCCAGTACCCAGTCCCGTCCTGGTACCCAGAGTTGCATGATGGCACCCTCTTGTGTCTGATATTGCCTCTGCTGGTCGGGATCCATCCCCCACGTCTGTGGCATTTTCTTAATCCCTCCCAGCGCAAGAGAAACGGAAAACGAATGGCTGTTTATGGCCGTCGCATTTGAAGCAGCCGCATCTTTAGTCACTTTGGTGAACACGGTTTATTCACACTGTCTAAGCAGAAACATTATCCCGTTTGCACCGGTGATGAATCTGCTTCTGCCGCATCACGTCTGCCGGAGCCATTCTTAATGCCATCCTTTAATTTCCTGGCGAGATGATCCATAGGTGTGCCATGAATGGTAGCCTAAATAAAGAAGTCACCCCCCCCCTTCCCCTGATGATATTAATTGGAGAAAGCTAATGGTTGTAATTGCCCTGGTTAAGCATGCCGTGCTGTCCCCCATGACGGAGCGAGCGACGCCCCCCCCGCGACGGCCGCTTTCCGTAAGACAATCCGTATTGATTATGGGGACATTATACACTGGCCAGTAAATCCCAGCAGAGCAATGTGCAGCTCTTGTGTTTATAGCAGAGTAAGTAAACACCACCTGAGCTTATAAATGGGAAATGACACACGCCTCTATGGCCTGATACCACTTCATTATCCAGCCATTTTCTGAAACCGCTGGTCCTATTCAGGGTCATGGGAGGTCCGGAGCCTATGGGTGTCAGGCAGGATGGGGTGCCAACCCACTGCAGAACACACACACACACACACACACATATACTCACTCACACACACATACACACACACACACATACACTCACACACACACACATACACTCACACACACACACATACACTCACTCACACACACATACACTCACTCTTACATACACTCACACACACATACACTCACTCTCACACACACATGCACACACACTCACACACACTCATACAAATCTAAGGGCAATTTGGTAACTTGTTTTTGGACTGTAAGGGAAAACTAGAGTACCCAGAGGAAACCCCATGACAAGAAGGGGAGAACATTCAAACTCCACACACATGGAGCCATGGTGGAGACTCGAATCATGGTCCTGGAGATGTGAGGAAATAGTGCTAACCACTGCACCAGCATGCCACCCCCCCCAATCATTATTCAAATGCCAAATACAGTGTGAAATGTACTATAGTATTTAATAACAGGTATTCGATTTGCTTAGAGTAATGTCTATTTTGTCCACCAAGGGTCCGAAGTGTCCGATTTCCCCCCCAGTTGACCTCCTACTGGGGGCTCACACAGGTGAAGATGTACAGGAGCTGCGTTCAGGTGAGGACAGTGGACAGTGACATCACCCACCCACCCCCCCCAGGCCTCAACATCCTCTGTGCAGACGATCAAGCTGTCAGCCTGCCCACTTGCTGAACCTTCAGGCTGTGGCTGGATAGATGCATGGTTCCTGGGGAAGGAACCTTCTGAAAGCAGGCCCTGGCATCCTCGAGCATGGGATTTGTCAAGAATCTCCCCAAGACTCACCATGGTGGCAGGTGCCAGATTTCTGGTTTCAAAAACCAGGTCTGTTGACAGGCATCCAGAACCCTATGGAATTGTGGGTAAATTTGTCACCCCTTGACATTCGTGAGAGTTAGGGATGGATGATCTCCACAAATGTGAAGATTCACAAATAATACTTGGGTACATTATTAAAAATGAAAAAAAAGTGTATAACAATGTGAAAAACGTGAGCTAACACATGAGTGAGGCTGGTTGTCGAGACAAAGATGCACAGCATACCCAAGCCAAAACTTTTAATAGTAAAGATTTAATATCCACTTACAGTAACAAATATAAAATAACACTAAAATGATCTTACGTGATCCAACTTATTTTCAGCATTGTTTTTATATTTTTTGCTTATGCGTGGTCCAAAAATATTCTCATTTAATTGTTTACAGCCAACTTGCAAATAACCAAAACCACGAATATGAAATTCGTGAATCTGGAGGGGCGACCGCATAATGTGAACGTCAGGATTACGTCAGTGACTCCAGCCCTGTAGGGGGCGACATTCCACTGCCTCCGTGACGTCATGGTGCATTGCAGCACACGCCTCAACTGCTAGGCTGTTCCTCCTTCCTTTTGCTCTCTTGGGCTGAGCCAGATGCAGTAGGTAGATTTATTTTTGGAGCAGCTGTGGTGTGTCTAAGCCCCCACCCCCCCACGAGACCGTGTGTCGCCACGCATCAGTGCATCTCACATCCATGGTTGGGCCCGTGTCCCCTGCAGCAGCTGGAGTGACGGAGCAGCGCTCAGCCTGCTTCTCTGTCTGTTCTGACTTGAGGTGACGGGCCGGGTGCCTGGCATACCCCTGAGGTTTGGGCCCAGTCCCTGATGGGACCTCGATGGCAGACGGGACCACAACCCCTGTTGGAGGATCTGTGTGATGGTTTGAGATCTCAGAGGTTCATGTCTAGATGTGTACGTGTTCTCACTCATGTAAAGTAAGGACAGCTCTCTGGTGGGGGTGTGGTGATTTGTAGGTGGGGTCATGGGTGGGTTTGGGGGGGGGGGCAGTGAGCAGGGCTATTGATCTGCTTACAGAGCCATACAAGTGCTCATGGG